AGTTGTGTAGTTTGTTGTTTAATTGGTTTATTGTTGATCTTTGTGTGTTTTTTTTTAAACTTTTTTTAACATTTAAAAAAAACTTTAGGAATCACGCTTTAAAAATAAAAAATAAACGGTTTTTGATTTAAAGACAATCTTTTTTCTTTTTTATTATTAGACCTTTATGTATACAGGTTGGTTCCTATAGAGCCTCAAAGACTCATTTACAAGAGAGACCTGTTACAAACAACATAGAGGGAAATGAGAAAAAGAACACGAGGGTGGAGGAAACAAAAAAAATCATGTTTCACATCATTTCTTGGCCGGGAAACAGTTGATGCAAAAAAAAGACCTTGCAACATATGATAACATCATAATACATTTATGAACAGAGGTCGACAAAGCTGGTGAGTTATCCATAAACACTCCAAAGTTCTGATAAGATGGTACAGTGTCTATCAGCATCATGGTTGAGCTCGTTAAGTATATGAGTCTGAAAGCTCAAGGCACAAATTAATCCTTCACATAAGGTTGGCAGCTTCACCACGGCCTAAACTGCTGCTGGTGTCTTCCTAATTAATTAGTTGATATCCAAGTTATCCACCGATTCCACAAAGCAGAAACCCTGTTATCATAAATCCAGTAATGTACACATCTACGTCCTCCATGGACAGCACAGATAGGCACACCATCTTCCACTCCCCCCAGAAACAAGGACATTCCGAGCTGCGTGGGTCCGTTCGGGGCATGAGGGCTCTCCAGCACCCTGTCGTCTGGTGGAAAAAAATTGTCAATTGCGTTGAGGGACCATCTGACCAAATCCATAACGATTTCTGATTCAGAAGATGTGTAAAGAGAGGCTCTGAGGTTGACAGGACAAAAGAGCAAAAAAAGCAGGAGGGAGGGTAACAGCGACTGTCTTTGTCGAAGGCAAGGCGAATGCTTGTTAGGTTTCCTCTCCAGCAGTTTATTTGTTCAGAATTTGTTCTTGAATTAATGATTTAATGAGATTTTAAGGATTCTGATTTGTTTTGTCAGTAAAAACCTGCTGGTACCAGCGGCAGGAAACCAGCCTCATGAATCAGTTTCTTTAAAACCAAACCCGGCTGAGAAGTGATGAGTAGAAACACCTGAGGGTCCACATGAAGCCGGTCTCTGAGCAGGCTGGAAGTGAAGCAAAGTGAGTTACTTCTGATGGCGTTCAAGGGACCAGTTCGGTCCGTCACTGTGTCAGGGTGCAAAGTGCGAGGAATGGACTTGGAATGCTGACCCACCCAGGTCCGAGGCCCCTAGAGAGACCCGGGAGGCCCCTGTTATCCAGACCTGTCGCTCGGCAGAGAGCAGATAATGATCTGTAGCCTCTACCTCTCTGGTCCCAAACCTCGGGTGACCCTGAGAGACAGCGTGTGCGCATGACACCGGAGGAATTTTAATTCGGCCCAGGAATCAGCTGGCTCTCCTCCTCTCTGTGTTTTTTCCTTTTTGACTCCAATAATCAGGCAGCATGGAGATGAGACACACCAGGTTACCATTAAAGCTGCTCCTATGGAGGAGACGGAGTTAGAGAATGCCCTCATGGAGCGTTTCCAGATGAAAAACCTCAGGAACAAAACTCCATAAACTGAATTAAAGGTCTCAACTCTAAAACAAAGGAGGCTCATCTTCATGTCATGGTAAGACCTAATTAGTTCTCATGTTCTGACTAAACTTGTCCCATCTGAAGAAAGAAAAGGTCTGTAATGAAAAATAAAAGGGTGATGAAATGGATGCACGATGATGCACGACCCTTGTAAAAACAGCCAAATTAGAAGCAGAGATCACCTTTAAACACAGAATCGAACTTCCTGTTTGTCACAACAAATCTTCAGGCAGATGTTTGATTGACTGGAAAGAAACCTGCATCCATCAGTACTTCTTGGGAACTACAGAAAATACTTTGTGTTCTCCTTGAAGATGTCATTGCACTGGGTGACACCGCTGCTACAACCAATCGGAACATACTAGTGCTTGAACGTTTGCCAAGTCCAGTCAAATTTATTTGTATAGAACATTTAAAACGGGAACGGTTACCAAAGTGCATTAACCAAAGAGATACACATGGGGAGACTAAGCTGCAGCCACTTGAGCAGCGCCACCTTTTTAGATAAGGAAAGTGAGAACATGAGGAAAGATCAGAAACGACCTCAGCACAAAAAGCAACGTAAATAAGACAAACATTTATGCTTACGAGACAACAAAGCTGGTGAGTTGTCCATGGACACTCCAGAAAGTTCCAAAGTTCTGATAAGATGGTACAGTGTCTATCAGCATCATGGAATGATAAGGCCACAGATGTCCTTGAGACGGGGAGAGGGGCAAGCAGAAGATTCTAGTTTACGTATCCTCCATGAGCAATTTGAGATAAGTCAACCTGTCCAAGGCCAGCAGGGAGGCCAAATTCAGATAAACAACAACAGTTTGGGCCGCTAGACTCTGATTTATGTCTGCCTTCAAGTTCTGCTGCTAAACTCAATGGTGAGTCCAAACAGCCAGATTTATGGACATTCTGCCCAGTCCGTGCTCGATTAGCTTTCTCCAAGATCAAATCCTTCATGCCGACAAGTTCCAGGAGCCGCAAGTGGCCTCAGAAATCGTGTCCAGCTTGTGGTTGAGCTCGCTCAAGGCATAAATTAATCCTTCACATAAGGCTGGCAGCTTTACCATGGCCTAAACTGCTGCCGACGTCTTCCTAATTTGTTGTTATCCAAGGTATCCTCCGATTCCAAAAGGACAAACCCTGTTATCATAAATCCAATAATTTAAACATATTCTTAGAATCAGAATAAACTTTATGGTATGGTATAAAGGTATGGTATGGTATTACAATGATATTATCATTGCACAGCAGTGCAGCGAGATTATATTCCGTAGAGTTGTCCAAAACATGGGCGGAGTGCACGTGGCTGCAGCTCCTAGGAGTGCAGTCCCTTATTCTTTAGAAAGAAAAGGGGAAAGACCATGAGGATAAGATAGTAGTATTAATAAAAAAGATCTCTTCACACCTTGTCATTGTTAGGGCATGATTTAAGACATCATAAAACTCTACCAGCAGCACATGTATAAACGCATTACATGTGTATTTGACGACAAGACGGTGACATTTGTCCATGAAGAACTTCCAGATAGCACCATAGTCCTGATAAGATGTTGATGTCAGCCGGGACAGCTCTGACAATTGTTCACAGAAGTTCTCGGGACATACAGCAGAGCCTTCTTAGCTTACACATCCCCAGGAGCAATTTGATAAGTCGGTCTATTCAAGGCTGAATTGGGGAGTCACATTCAGATGAGCCACAGTTGTTTTTTTGTGCAGGCAGACTGTTTTTTCTCATCAGCCTCAAGTTCTGCCGGTACTCTTGATGATCTAAAATGGCCAGATTTGTGGGCTTTATGCTGGTCCGTGCTTATTAGCTTCCTCCAAGTTCAACCCCAACAATCTGGAGAGTCCCAGAAGCAGCAAGTGGCCTACGATTCTCATAAATCGCTTCCATCTCACAGTTGAACTCGTAAATCAGCTGAGTCTGAGAGCTCGAAGCACAGATTAATCCTTCAGATAAGGTCGGCAGCTTTGCTATGGCCGAAACTGCTGCCGCCGTCTTCCTTAATAGTTGATAACATAGGTATCCACCGGTGCTATCATAAATCCATTGATGTATAAATCTTTGGCATCCTCCAGAGACAACAAAGAAAGGCACATTTTCCACTCTCCCCACGAATCCATGACGTATCCTGCCACGTGCGTCTCAGCGGGACATGAGGGTTCTCCAGGACCCTGTCGCTTTGTTGAAAAAAAATGTATTGATTGCGTTGAAAGTCCAGCTGACCAGATCCATGACAATAATTTACGATTCGGAAGATGTGGAAATAGAAGCTTGGATACACAGAACAGAGAGCAAAAAAGCAGGAGAGAGGTTAAGAGAGACCGTCTTCGTCGAGAGCGAAAGAGGGAATGGCGTTTGTGAAGCCTTTAGAATTTTCCAATGACCAAGTATAATATTATTATTGTCTCTTTTGTTTATCTTGGTTTTCTTTATCTACTTTTAGGACATGTGTAAAAATCTGATAATGTTTTAGGTCATATTGATGCAGAAATATAGAAAATTATAAAGTGTTCATAAACTTTAAGCACCACCATACCAAGATCTTGGTGGATTGAGAAAGACTTGTTCAGAGTTAAGGCCAAAATGATTCTGATATGTCCGAGAGACGTTGTCCTGCATATTCACCAGGTTCTACACATCAGCAGCAGCTACCTAGACTGGATCTTACCACGTAAACCCACAGTTGCACCATGTTCAGGGCTCCCAAACAGTGGCACCACTGTTTAATTGGTGTTTATGTAGTTCTGAGATCTACTGTTCGGTTCATGATCTGAGGGTGGATCCACTGATTGGTTGATGTTTTCTTGTTCTGAAGCTGCATCTCCTATTCAAGTGATGTTCTGAGTGTGGATGTACTTTTCACATGTTGAATTGAGGATGGATCCACTGGTCAGTTTGTGTTTTCTTGCTCTGAGGGTGGATCCACTATTCGGTTGGTGATCTGAGGGTGGATCTACTGTTTGGTTAGTGTTTCTGTGCGTTTCGGCTCTGGTTCGCCTGCTTGCCACTCCTGAGGAGACAAGCTGTTTGAATAGAAAAGCAGAAGAAAGCTTTTCCTCGAGCTGTCAGTCCTGGTTCGAGTCGGGGCTTCACACAGTCCATCATCCTGTCTAGTTCAAAGCCCTCCTAGCTGCAGGTCTTTGTCAAAAGCCTGGTTGGATACCTTTTATGTTCAAGATGTAGGATTTCTCAGCACAACTTTGATTATTTATTTATTCCACTTCTCGTGTGTGATAGTGCCAATATTTTACACGAAAGTGCTCAGCCTGCTCTGAAACTCACGCTGCTTTACTGTAGAACCCCTTAGCCTTTGAAAATTCCTTTTTTAAGTCTCTTCTCCCCCTCAGTTCCCCAACTCTGTGGTTTCTGTGTCTGCAGCCCCCCAACACCTCTTCCCTGCCTTCCACACGCCGATCCCCCTGGATGTCCGGCACCACGAGGGACGGTACCACTACGAGCCCCACACCCTGCACGCCATGCACAGGTAAGGTCCTGACCTTCAGAGCTCAAGCCTGGAGTCAGCACAGCTTTTTGATCCAAATCTAAACTTCACATTGAATCTCTACCGTACGGTACAATGGATGCGTTTCTGTTTTAACTACGGAGCGGATGTCAGCAGATCCTGATTGGAGCTGAATATTTGCCAAGTTCAGTATCAGAACCAGATGACAACACGCTGACTTCCAAAGTGAATAAGCAATGCTGGGTGCAGATTTCTCCTCTTGTCTCTTTGCTCTTCAGGCTCCAACCATCAGGGGTTCAAACCCTCTGAAGTTCGGCTGCAGGATCTACGTCTTTGAGGAAGAATTAAAGAAATTTATTCTACTTTGGTGATCAAGGTGCCACTGAGAGAACTTTAAGGCTTTCTACAACAGGACTTTGGAAACATTCTTTCCTGGCAATTGTAGCAGAATTAACGTTGGTCGTCTGTTACATCTGAGCTTTTCTTCTTGAACCACGCTTCAAACGTTCAGCCGGATGGTTCGTGACAGAGCGATACATGAAACTGAAGGAAGCTTGATGCTTTTTGCTCTGAGTTCTTCTGTTCCCATCACAGTTTGAAGTTCTTTGCAGAACATCAGATGATGCTCCCCCAGACATTCGTGGCATTTAGATCTAGGTAAAGTCCGGTCCTGTCTAGACCTCCAGCCCAGACCTCACAGCAGAACCACCGTTCAGTTGAAACGGGTCACAGCTGTTTCACATCTTTAATGGGTTTTATTCAATCACAGACTGAGTTGGAGGATTTTTACTAATTTTACCAAAGAATTGTTCATCGTTGTCGCCTCCAGTCTTTAGTCTTTCTGTCTCTGTCCCTCCAGAGTGTCTCTGCTGGAGGACTGATGAGGTCCATCCAGAGGTCAGAGGTCAACACCCAAACACTCACTGACTTCCACCATATCTGAGCTTCCAAACAGGAAGTGAAGGCACTGACTTCCACCGTATCTGAGCTTTCAAACAGGAAGTGAAGGCTCTGTTTAACTTCTCCTCCATCAAACCCTGTAGAACCATCAAACAAAATCTGTGGTACCACCGGAACCTCCTGCTGCTCATGTGTCAACAAGTTCTTCTAGTTTTCACACAGAGACTGTTTGTCTGAGGCTTACTTTTTACTCTGCATTTCTGCTCATCACCATGACAACCAGTGATTCAGCAGCTTCTATGTATTACCCAGCATGCATTTCTTCCTCCTGTTTCCATCATGGCCACCCCCGTCTGATCGGACCAGTCATGTTCAGGAGAATTCAGACAGGAAACAGGAAGAGGACTGAACCTGGAGTTTCAAATTAAAGCTCCTGGAGCTCTTTCAAAATAAGAGTTGCAACTCAGATTATGACAAAGTTCTGACTTCCTGTCAGGCTTTGCAGAAAGGTTTTATAGTTCTGGTTTTCTAAACCAGTCTTGAGTAGAAATTCAGGGTTTTTTTTCGGTTTGAGTCTTAAATAAAGATTTGAGGTGAAAAAATAAAGAACTTGTAAAATCAAAGTTGTTTTGTGTCAGTCTGCAGCTGACGACTTCATTAAGAGCTGGAGCTAATCTGGCTGCTGCAGCCGTTAGCCCCGAGCTAACAATGTAATTAGACTCCCAGAGGTCAGAAGTCAGAGGTCAGAGGTCACTGCTGGTGGGAGCAGAGAAAGATTTATTTACCCTGAACATTCACACAGGTTTAGCTTCTGCTTCAAGCAGCTTCTCTGCCGCTGGTTTGGCCTTCAGCTGGTGTAAAGGACATAAACGGCACCAGAGGAAGACAAAAATCACCCCTGGGTGAAGAACCGGAGCTCCTGGCACAACACGAGTCTAAATGTCATCACACGAGAAAAAGTGGTGCCCAGACGAAGAAGTCAATAGAATCTGCGCTCTTCCATTTAAATTCACAGATCTGATGGTGATGCATACCGCGCGCCTGGCGGAAGCAGGGCTATTCATCACAGCAACGCAGGAAGTGGAGGCCGAGCAGCGGCGGGGGGCTGTCTGCGGACTCGGCCACCTTGATTAATGTGATTTGATCCTGACAGTGGACCCCTAATTCATCAGGACCTTGATCTAGCTGTCGCTCCCCCCTGCCTGTGCCAAATTCACCTAATTACAGCAACACTGCGCAGCAAATGAAGTGCGCTGTCACTCGTGGCCTGGCGCGGCACTTTATTATCCAGCCGCGGCGGCATGTCAGAGGTCCGCTGCTTGATTGTCTAACATGACATCCTGCCGCCGTCCTCTTCATCACTGTTTGCATAAACTGGAAGGAGACGGCCGCTGGTCTTCTCAGGCCTGTCAGGAGGAAAACAAGACGCCTGTTCTTCTTCTGTGCAGTTTCATGCAACAACTCAAGGAGGAATTCTTCCTCCTCATATGAAACTACAAAGACCTGCACCCAAAGACGGTTCAGCTCATCCTGGTCTGCTTTAACCAACCCAAACATCGAAGACACAGTGGTCTGTCCTGTCCAGGTTGGACAGAGGTTCTGCCTCCACTGGAGGAATCCAAGAATCTAGTTTGTTTTCAGTGGGGGAAGAACGGAGCGTGAGATCAACAGATGGACCGGAGCAGCCTCTGCAGTATTGTGAATTCTGAGTCGGTCCGTTGTGGTGAAGAGGAAGCTGAGCTGTACGGAGAAGCCCTCCGATTACTGCTTAGTCTACATTCCTACCCTCACCTCTGGTCCTGAACTTTGGGTAAAGACTGAAAGAACCAGATCCTGGATCCAGGAGGTCTAAAGGCATTCTCTCTGCAGGGTAGCTGGACTCTTCCTTAGAAATGGGGTAAGAGGTTCAAGTTTCCAGGAGAGACTCGGAGTAGAACCACTGCTCCTCAACATCCAGAGGAGACGAGTGAGGAGGTTCAGACATCTGGTCAGGATGGGCCCTGGACAACTCCCTAGGGAGGTGTTCTGGACATGTCCAACTGGAAGGAGAACCATGGGAAAACCCAGGACACACTGGAGAGCCTATGTCTGTCAGCTGGTCTGGAATGCCTTGGAGTCCTCCAGAAGACCTTGAAAAGATGACTGGACCTCCCTGATCATTCTGCCCCCGAGACCTGAGTCCAGAATGAGATGGACATGACTGTCTGTGATTGACTGAATGATTCAGTGAGTAACTGACTGACTGATTCAATGACTCGCTACCTCAAAGATTCACTGACTATCTGATTCAATGATGGACTCAGTGATTCACTGACTGATTGATTCACTGACTCAGTGATTCACTGACTGATTCACAGACTGACTCAATGATTGACTGACTGATTCATTGACTGACCGATTCATTAACTGAATGATTTACTGACTCAGTAATTCACTGACTGCCTCAATGATTGACTAATGGATTCACTGACTGACTGATTCACTGACTAACTCAAAGATTCACTGACTGATTGTTCACTGACTGACTGAGGGAACATGAAGGAGTCATGACCAACCATTCGTCGAAGATGTTTATCAACTTGTGAAGTCAGTCCAGGGTCTAAATTCTTCAGTGGGTTCATTAAAACAGGAGGACCATGAAGGGACTGACCACAGTTCTGGACTTGGAAGGACAACCAGTTCTCTGTGTTGGTCAAGCCTTCAAAGTAACATGATACGAAGTATTGGGACGTATCAGTGGTCCGTTCGACTGAAGACATGAATAAATTTTTCTCTGTGGATAGTTTTAAACTTTAAATCGAACCTGGTTTTGTGGATTTGGTTGTCATCGCTGGCACCAACCGCCACTCTGAGGCTGAAATCAGGTTTTATAACAAAGTTGAGCGTGAAAAGATTCATGGGTGTTAAAAGGAAGTGTTGTGTTTGTATCTGGGTCATTTCAGAGATGGGTCTCACTGTAGTTCATCTCCAGTCTTATCTACACAACGCCAAAAGCTGAAGGAAGGACTGGGACGGTCCACAGCCGAGTGTGAAGCTCCTGGGGGGTCCCTCAGCTCCTCTAAGCCCAAGGTTCTGAACTGGACACAGGTGGAGCGCCCTCTCTGGGTCAGGGGGGAGTCTTTGCCTCATGTGGAAAGGTTCAGGTACCTGAGGGATGGAAGGATGGAGCGGGAGCTGAATATACAGATCAGGACCTTGTCTTCTGTAATGAAGGCATTGCTCCGGTCCGTTGTGGTGAAGAAAGAGTTGAATCTGAAGGTAAATCTCTGGATCTACTGGTCTGTCCTCATTTCAGCCCTCACCTGTGGTCTTGAGGTCTGGAATAGGACCAACAGAATCAGATCCTGGATCCAAGCAGCTGAACTGGTCTTCCTTTGTAGGCTGGGAGGCTCAACCAGAGAGATAGGGTGAGGAGCTCTGTCATCCGGGGGTAGCTGCTACTCCTCTGGAGTCAGCTGAGGAGGATCAACTGATCAGGACGTCCCACTTTGGAGGTTTTCAGAATATGCTGCCCTGGTAGGAGTCCCTGGGTCAGACCCAGAACTCTCTGGAGGGATTATAGACATTCTCTGATCTGGGACCAGCTCATGGTCCTTCAGGAGGAGCTGGAGGGTGTAGATGGAGAGACAGAGGTCTGGGTTTGTCTCCTGGGCCTATTGCCTCTGGACCCGACCCTACAGACTCCAGGTTTGATTCTTTTCACTACATTTAAGGCATCAAAAGACTTTTTCTGTGTTAGAAGGTCAGAGTTCAGAAGGCGATGTTTGTTTCTCTCCAGACGTTTTGCAGACGTTACCTCCTGATGGACGCCTCCCATTTAAGGAGCTCCTTTCAGCCACAGGATGTGTAGATGTCTTCCTGACACCAGTCCATGTCTTCCTGGCACCAGTTCATGTGTTCCCGGCACTGGTCCATGTGTCCTCAGCACCAGTCTGTGTCCCCAGCACCGGTCCATGTGTCCTCAGCACCGGTCCATGTCCATGTCTTCCCGGCACCAGTCCATGTCTTCTCGGCAGCAATCAATGTTTCCCCGGCACTGGTCAAAGTTTTCCCAGAATCAGTCCATGTTTCTCTGGCACCGGTCCATGTTTACCCAGCACCGGTCCATGTTTTCCAAACACCGGTCCATGTCTACCCAGCACCAGTCCATGTTTTCCTGGCACTGGTCCATGGTTTCCCAGCACCGGTCCATGTCTTCCCGGCACCGGTCCATGTCTTCCCGGCACCGGTACATGTATTCCCAGCACTGGTCAAAGTTTTCCCGGAACCAGCCCATGTTTCTCCAGCACTGGTCTATGTTTTCCCAGCACAGATCCATGTCTTCCCAGCACCGGTCCATGTTTTCCAAACACCGGTCCATGTCTTCCCAGCACTGGTCTATGTTTTCCCGGCACTGGTCCAGGTTTTTCCGGCACTGGTCCATGTCTTCCCAGCAATGGTCCATGTCTTCCTAGTCCCAGTCCCTGTGAATCTGTAGAATCCAGACGTGATCCGAGTCCAGGATCTGTGACCTCACTTTGCTGCTGGCATTTTGTTAACACGTTAGCAGCTGCCGCGGTCGTTAATGACAAGTTGGACGGTAGCGCCTGTGTGAGCAACATCGTACCTGATCCACCACCTTCAAACACAGAACCTGCTTCATGTTCACTTCAGAACGACTCGGTTCTAAAGACCCAGAATTTTTAGGAGACTGGATTATGGACCAGTGACAACTGTGCTCCCGAACACACCGCAGTGTAGCTTTCAATGAGCATTAAACCTGGTCCTGTTTGGATCCGCAGCTCTGACCTCAGAACCAGAAGAGTTGAAACGGGCCACAGGCTGAATGAAGGTGGAGGATTTGACCACAGAATGTCTCCAAATGTCTTCTTCTCCATTTTGTCTTCCAAACGGCAGTCTTTTTCTCCTTCCACTCAGCGGGTCTCTTTTCTGGCAGAGGTCAGAGGTCACACAGGTGGGTCGCTGTGGGTCAAATGATGCTCTGATCACCAGACCCTCCTGGAGGCCGATTGGGTCTGCACGAACCACAAGACCCAACCTCTGCAGACCCACTGAGTTCTGCTGGACCTGACCTGCTGCTCATCCTTCAGCTCCCACGTCCACGTGTGTGTGTGTATATATATATATATATATATATATATATATATATATATATATACATCCGGGAGGGACTCAGAGTAGAGCCGCTGCTTCTCCACGTCGAGAGGAGCCAGTTGAGGTGGCTTGGGCATCTGTTTAGGATGCCTTCTGGACGCCTCCCTGGTGAGGTGTTCTGGACACGTCCCACCGGGAGGAGGCCCAGAGGAAGACCCAGGACACGCTGGAGGGACTATGTTTCTCGGCTGGCCTGGGAACGCCTCGGGATTCCCCTGGAAGAGCTGGCCCAAGTGGCTGGGGAGAGGGAAGTCTGGGCCTCCCTACTTAGGCTGCTACCCCCGCGACCCGACCCCAGATAAGCGGAAGAAAATGGATGGATGGATGGATATATATACATTTTTACTTGTTTATTTATTTTTCATTTAACCTTTATTCATACAGGTTAGTATCACTGAGCCTCGAGGACTCATTCAGAAGAGAAACAAAAGTTATTTATCTACTGTATTTATTTATTTATGAATCACAGACTTGTTTAATTCTTGAATCCACGAGTGTTTCTGAAGGTCCACCTCACATCAATTGTACTTGAACTTAGACTAACATGTCACATCTCCTCCATAAAACCCAGTAGAACCATCCAACAGAACCTGTGGCACCATCAGAACATCCTGCTGCTCACGGGTCAACAAGTTCTTTGATCTGACTTCTAGTCTTCCCACAGAGACTGTGGGTCTGAGGCTTACTTTTTACACTGAGATTCTAACTGTAGTGCTGCCCCGCCTCTTTCTGCCACCTAATAAAGCGGGAATCACCATGGCAACCAGTGACTCAGCAGATTCTGGGTTCTTGGACCTTAATTTATTCCGAACCTCTGTTGTCTACAGGATCATGGTCGGCCCATAAACTTTTGAAGAACCTATCTAAATTCCAACACCAGTCTGAATGGGTCCATCAGATCAAGAACCAGACCAGTCCAGAACTAGCCTGAACAGGTCCACCAGATCAAGAACCAGACCAGTCCAAAATGTTATTCTGAAGGAGTACCAGGTTTCAGTTGGGCATGATGGTGGTTCTGGTGGTCCCTCAGGCTCTTCATCAGAACTACTCAGGAGCCACAGTTACTGAGATCCAGCAGCTCAGGGGTCAGACATCATTAAATTCGTTTAATGGTTTAAAATCTGTTTTTTTTTTTTTAAATGAACCCACTGGTGGACCGGACTGAGTTCACTTGTGGGCCTGGTTTGGCCCCTGGGCCCCCACTTGAATAGCCCTGGTGTAGATGTCAAGTCTGAATATAAAAACCTAAGTGACATGAAAAACAAACATAATTTGATCCTTGTTTAAAAAAAGACATTTTTCTCTTCTAGCCCCACAGGTCTACCTGGCAGCCCCATCCTCTCTGACATCTCCCTGATCCGCCTCTCGCCAGCTGCCGTGGCGCCCGGAGAGTCTCCGTTCAGCCCTCCTCACCCGTACGTCTCCCCCCACCTGGAGCACTACCTGCGCTCGGTGCACGGCAGCCCCGCCCTGTCCACGATCTCTGCAGCACGAGGACTCAGCCCTGCAGACTGTGAGTCCACCACTGCCACAAGTCCTGAATCACATCACTGTAAAACAAAAAGGAAGCGTGAAATTCACTAAAACTTTCAGTTTCTCTGCCCTTCCTCCATCACCATGGCAACGAGTTAATCTGCAGAGGCTGGGTCAAAAAGGCGGGAAGCCTTTGCCACTTTTAGCATTTAGCTGGACTTTGCTACTTTTAGCATTAAGCTAACCGTTGCCACTTTTAACATTTAGATCATTTTTGTTATACGTTTAACATTTAGCTAGCCTTTTCTACTTTTAGCATTTAGCTAACTTTTGCTAAGTTTAGAATTTAGCTAACCTTTGATACTTTTAGCATTTAGCTGGAGTTTGCTACTCTTAGCATTTAGCTAACCTTTGCTACATTTAGTATTTAGATACCTTGTTACGTTTAGCATTTAGCTAACCTTTGCTAAGTTTAGCATTTAGTTAACCTTTGCTAAGTTTAGCATTTTGTTAACCTTTGCCAAGTTTAGCAATTAGCTGGACTTTGTTACTTTAGCTGGTGTTCTGTCAGGTCATCACAGGTTACCTGTGTGTTTCTCAGCGTCATCGCTCTGAGGCTCTTCTTTAGATTTAAATGCCTCGCTTCAGTCCAGCTGACAAGATGGTAAATTGTTTTCCTGCTGCTGCAGGCTGGTGTGGTCCAGCTCTGAAGACAGAGTCCTCCTCAGGACCCAGTCCTTATCTGAAGACAGAGTCCTCCTCGGACCCAGTCCTCAGCTGAAGATAGAGTCCTCCTCGGACCCAGTCCTCAGCTGAAGATAAGAGTCCTTGTCGGGATCCAGTCCTCAGCTAAAGACAAAGTCCTTGTCGAGACCCAGTCCTCAGTGGAGACGTTTGTCTTTCATCAGTTTTAGCCGTGGAAACGTAAAATAATATTTTCTCTGTGAGACTCTTGAAATCTTCATGTTCACAGGGAATAAACTGGACTGAGGTGTAGCAGACTCTGGTCCTGGGGGGGAGGGGGGTAAGGTCTACAGACCCCTCCAGTCATAAACCCCCTCTCACCAATCTTCTGTCCTTGTCGCCCCCACAGTGGCCCATGAGCACCTGAAGGAGCGTGGGTTGTTGGGACTTCCCCCTCCCCCCTCAGCGGAGTATTACCACCTGATGGCCAGCCACCGGAGCCCCTACAGCGAGCTGCTCCTGCAGGGGGCCGGGGGCCCTGGGGGGGCCCACCTGTCCGACTACTTCGGTCCCATCGAAGGTGAGAAATGAGTCCTTTCATCTGAAACAAACCAATCAGAGCTTGAGGGAGGGGACACAGAGACCTTAAATTAAGACCAGGTCTCAGGTCAGAGTCCAGGCTTCAGACACAGTTGGACTCTGTAGACCAGGTCAGGTCTGTCTCTGTGAGCTGGACTGCCGATCAGAACCTGTAGAAGTTGTCTTGTCTGTAGCCTTCAGACTCCAGCAGGATCGTCTGGGCCAACCTGGTCCTTTGAACCTGTCAGACCCAGCAGTCCGGGACTCACAACAGGGCCTGAGTCCAAAACCACCGTTTGTCTCCGGCTGGACTCAGACTCATGGAGAACAATTCCAGAGACACATCAGTGAGGAGAGAGATGTTCAGCAACCCCAACAGAACCGCCGTCCAAACGAAGACTGAGGACTGGGCTCACGCTCGGACTGTCCAGGCCTCGGGCAAAGGTCAAAGGTGAACCTCCTGAAATGCCTTGTTGAATTAGGCTGGAACATTTCCCAGGGTCCTCTCTGACTGAACAATTAGCATGTGCTAACTGCTTAGCTGCTGAATTTTACGCACACATTTCTGACCAATCAGATTTGACCTTTCAGAGGAGGCGGGGTCTAACAACAAGCTTTACGAGACACATTTTAGAGGAAACAAGTTGAATATTTTACCTTAAAGCAGATAAAAAGGCAGGCTGGAGGATAAATCAGGTTTAATAAATAAAGTTTGATGTTTTAAAGCTCAGCCTCCACCGGCATTATGGACCCCCCCCCCACGCCCCCCCAGTGGTGGCTGCTGATATAAATCACAATGGAGGAGCGGCGAGGAAGTGGCTCCGGTCCATTCATCAGTGGAAGTGGCACATTAATAAACACATCTCCCCAGAGGTGAAGGCAGGAACAGAGATGAATATGGCTGCCGGCGCTGAACGTCGCCGTCACAGACGAGACCAAAAAAACCTCACCTGACCCCCCCCCCCCCCCAATCAACAACCTGAGCTGCAGCTGATTAAACGTCCAAATTAGCGTCCCATGACACCCCCCCACAAACACGCTAATGTCTTCGGCGATAAACCTCCAGAGCCGTCCCTGGAGAAACCGGCGCTGATGTTCGCCTTGTTTGTGCATTTGTTACATCATCATTTAAAGTCCATCGGCCCAGGACCCCCCCCTCGTCAGGTCCCACAGCTCCAGCTTCTAAACAGATAACGGATGTTGGACAGACTAAGAAACACTGAGCGGCCATCATTTAGAACCACATTTAAAGACAAACTGAAGAGGAGGCGGGGCTACAGCAGGAGGAAGGTCAGAGGTCAAACTCCCTATCAGAACCTCCTGCTGCTCATGGGTCAACAAGTTCTTTAACACATAGACTCTCTGAGGCTCACTTTTTACTCTGTGATTCTGTCTCAATGTGCTGCTGCGTGATGCCACGCCACTTTTGGCTCCCTAAGAAAGAGGGCATCACCATGGCAACCAGTGACTCAGCAGCTTCAGGCAGGAAACAGGAAGAGGTCTGTACCTGGATTTTCAAAATAAGAGTCTGTCACAGATCAGGTTCACTTCCTGCTGGTTTTTAGGGAAGCTGACTTGATTTATTAAAAAAAAGCTTTTGATTTGATCCCTGCGATTTTTAAAGACCAATAGTCAATAACAAAAGTAATTAACTGGATTTCTGGGTCCAATTTGAGCGAGCCTTAACACCAGATTATCGTCCATGTTCCAGAACGGATCCGACTCCTCGATCGTTTCCAAGCAGCAGAAATCGATGGCGAGTAAATCGGCCTCATTGAACACAATGGAGGCCACGAGGAGCGGCTGATGATCACCTGCGCTGCTCGGGATGAATTATAGCTGCAGATAATAGACACAAACTCCACCCAGAAAGGGCCCTGGCTGGGATTTGATCCGGTGACTTTCTTACTGAGAAGCAACAGCTCTACCCACTGTTCCACCGTGCCATCCCCAGATGGATCCAAACATTGATATTATCTCCATCATTGTTGATGTTGGATCAGACGACACTTTACTTTCTTCCTGTTCTCCATCACTTCTATATTCCTGGTTCTGGTTCTGACCAACAGATGAGCCGGGTTTTCATGTTCCTTCTCCTTCGTGGTTAGATTTGGGGCACACACAGAATCAAACCAGTAGTTCTCAGGGACAGAACCAGGTCCAAACTCTGGATAAAAGGTTCAGTAGTCCTGACCCACACCTGGAACCTGACACACTGACTCAGGTCCAACAAGAACCAGAACAAAGCTGTCCAGCTGTTGTAATGAAGACACTGACACAAACTACTTCCTGTTTGCAGAAAGTATTCAGAGTCCCAGGCGTGTCTATGGATGTGAAGATTCTCTCCGTGCATGCGTGGGTTTTCTCCGGGTACTCAAGTTTCTTCCCACAGACCAAAAACATGCATGTTAGACTAATTGGTAACTCTAAATGGTCCCTAGGTGTCCCTGTGATGGACTGGAAATCTGTCCACGTGTCCCTGTGATGGATTGGAGACCTGTCCACGTGTCCCTGTGATGGACTGGAGACCTGTCCAGGTGTCCCTGTGATGGACTGGAGACCTGTCCAGGGTGAAGAGGCGAATAAAGATAATGGATAGATAGACAGATGGATGGTTGGATGGATGGACAAATGGTTGGATGGATGATGGATGGAAGGTTGGATGGCTAGATGATGATGGTTGAATGGATGGATATAACAGCTGGACAAATGTATGATGGATGAATGGATGGATGGATTGATGGATGTAATGGTTGGACAAATAGATGGCTGGATGAATAGATGATAAATGGATGGATAGATGGTTGGATGGTTTATGGATGGATGTAATGGATGGATGGATGGATCCATCAGATGAGTTGGTTCCTCTGAGTCTAAGGTTAGCAACTTAGCCTCTTGTTCCTGAGTGATGGTAGGATGAAGTGGGGCCTCATCCTCAGTAATGAAGACGTTGATTCGGTCTGTCGCAGTGAAGAAGACTTAGAGACAGGGGAGGAGCTCCATCATCTTGGGGGGAGCTGGGATTGGAGCTGCTGCTGAGGAGGACTGGAATTAGCTGAGGAGGTTTATCTGATCTGGATGCCTCCCTTTAGAGGTTTTCTGGCCACGCCCCCCTGGGAGAAGACCCCAGGTCAGATGGATTGAGCTGCATACTACTGCTGCCCAGCAGGACTGTAACACACGACAGAGCAAAAGACTGCAACGTGTTCACTTCCTGTCTTTCTACAGCTCAGATTTGGAGCTATAGTTTGTTGTGGTAGTAGCTGAAGGTTAGCCCCATCACTTACTCTGAGCACCAACAGATCACAGGGAACATTTCTGTCTAAGGTTTGACCTACAAGACAGAAACGCAATAATGTCAGGAGTCAAAATGAATCTTCAGCTAAAGCCTTAGTGAGACCAAACTTGAGGGTTTTCTCCATAGATCTGAGTTCTGATCAAACTGACCAGTTTTGGTTTTCTTCTAACCGATTCAGACGTGATGTTATGACGATGTTCTGACCTACTTCAGACGTGATGTTATGACGATGTTCTGGCACCAAACGTGTGAACACAGTTTGTATTTCTGTTAGGTTTACAGTCTATACCCCAGAGACTGGTTTCTTTACTGTCACAGATGGTCAACTAGCATTTACCAGGTTTCATAGATTATTATTGTCTACAACATCCCCAGTCTAGTCCTGTTGTCAGAATCTTTGTCAGTCAGATTACAGCACCTGGACTATGTGTTGGTCCACAGTGTCCCGGTTCTCCAGTCCCAGACTGATGCCCCGGCTCAGCAGGAAGCGGGCCCTGTCCATCTCTCCGCTTTCCGACGCCAGCATCGATCTCCAGACTATGATCCGGACCTCGCCCAACTCCCTGGTGGCGTACATCAACAACTCCCGGTCCAGCTCGGCTGCCAGCAGCTCTTACGGACACCTGTCGGTTGGAGGTCTCAGGTACACCCACTCACCTGGACAAACACCCAGAGACAGATCAGGTTCCTTCTCTTCCTGACCCATCCTTCCTGATGAGTCATTCTAACATTCTACACCTCGTTTCCTGTTTAACTGGGTCCATATTTTCCTGTTCCTGTACTTTTGTTTTTCCTCTTTCCTCTTTGGTTTTGCTTCTCTCTCTCTCGTTTCTTGTTTTCTTTTTCTTTTCTGACGAGTTTCATTTTGACCTCAAATATCTGAGGCTTTAAGAACTAAATGATTTTTAATACAAACGTTAGGAACAATAAATAATACAGCTTGGTACTTACACAGGGTGTCAACTGAGTACTTACCCAGTACATATATACAGGGCTTTTACCAAGAATGTACCATGTAGATACCTGCACGTATCCTGTAGTTACCTGTACGTATTCATAGTTATCTGTATGTACCCTGTTACAGGGTACCTGTTTGTACCCTGTAGGTACTTGTACCTACCTTGTGTACTCTGTAGTTACATGTACATACTTTGTAGTTACCTGTAAGTAGCCTGTTACCCGTTTGTACCCTGTAGTTACCTGCATGTATGAAGTCACCTGTACCTGTAGGCACCGGTATGTACCCTGTAGGTACCTGCACCTGCCCTTTAAGTACCCAGTTGTTGTAATGTTTATTTTCCTGCTGATCATCAGTTTAGTTTTCTTTGTTTTTGGTTTCGCAGCCCTTCGTTTCCATTCCCTCATCCCATCAACTCTGTGGCGTACCAGCAGCTCCTCTCCCAGCAGCGAGGTCTCAGCGCCTTTGGTCACAACCCACCCCTCATCCAGACTACGCCCACGTTCTCTGGACACCAGTCGGGCTTGAGCCTTTCCTCGATGAATGCCTCGTGCCACAACATAGACCTGATGTCCAAGGTGATCCAGAAACTGGAGCTCAAAGGTTAAATTCTGACTGAATATCAGGAGAGTTTGTGAACTGATTCAGGGCTCTGGTTCCAGCCTCTGATTCAGGACTTGAAGGCCCCCCACCCCCTTGTGATTTCCAGCTCTTAAAACAACTGTGTATCCAAATGTTTAATCTTCAGCTCCAGTTGCCATCTGTTTGTTCTCGCTGTAGACCTGGTTTGTCATCGTCTTGTTTGATGCCGGTGCTGTGTCCCTCCCCCACCCACCCCCTGGGTCACAGTGTTATGATTTGTGGTGCATGAAGCAGCCCACACCCCCTGCCCCCTCCTCCTTCTCCGAGGTAAACTCTCAGTGGGGAAACCCATCATTTCTTCCCTCCCACGCAGTTGGTTTCCTGGTGTAATCTGTGATTCAGAGGGTCAAAGGTCAGCAGGGGCGCCACGGCATCAAGACTCAAACTCAAGTTATTCCACAGTTGACTCTTTTATCCCCCAGACTCCTCATGTTTTAAAAATACCTTCAATCCACAGATCAATGGAATACGTGTACAGTGTTTTAATTTAATTTAATTTAATTTAATTAATGTCTTTGTCCTGTCCGAACCTTCAGAACCAAACCTGAAGGGGTTTCTGATAAAACACCAGGATTGTGGTTCCAATCCATTTAATCTGGAAAAGATTTGGAAATACATTTAAAATACATTTATTTAGTTCAGTTCTTGTACAATGAGTAGAACCTCCAGTTACAAAGTTAATCCGTTCCAACGGGTGATTTGTACGTTGAAACTTTTTACTTTAAACATGTTTTCAGTAGAACTAAAGGTGTTCAAACTGTTTATTGTGTTTAACATCAACACGCTTATTAAGCACTGATCCTACTCAATGACTGATAAAAACTGAAAAATTAATGTTAGGAGGATGATAAAGCAACGGACTGGGTTTCTGTCACGTGTTCTGAAGCATCAGTCTAGCATTAGCCTAGCGCCTTCCTCTTCCTGATACTCAATACTGGTATAAAAATTAGTTTTCAGATTTAAAACAAAAGCAGGTTTGATTCTGACGGGAAGTTGAGGCCTAACCAGGCTTCTGACATTGACCAATCAGAGTTCATCGTGTCAGTCTGGAGGAGGAGCCTACTTTAGCTTCAGTTTCACAGGATGTAAATGTCCATTATTGATGATAAAATGCTTACAGCATCCCTCTGAATCATCTGTTTCCAGAACCATGGAGGCGACCCGGCAGTCAGCAGCACAGTGGACCCCATGAACAAAAGGTCAAAGGTGAAGGTGGAGGCAGAGGGAATGAGGCTGGCGTCTCCTGTCTCACCGGTAAACCAACCAGATATTTGAAAGAAAAGTACCATAAAAATACTTACGTTTTAATGAAAATACTCATCTGTGAGTCAGAACATGACACTGGAGATATTTTGTAACAAGATTTCAGTCTTGTGACGTTTATGATACGTTCTTGAAGCATATATTGCTTTAGTTGTTGAAGTTGAAGAGCGGGAAATTTTCAGTGTACTACAGTGTTAGCATGGAGCATCCTACAGCGATACAATACAATACAACTTTATTTATAAAGTAACTGAAAACAACACCGTTGGCCAAAGTGCTGTACACTAACACATAAAAGCATAAAAATAAAAAACATAAAATCAACAGTGTTGGCATGGGGCATGTTGCAGCATTAGCATGCATGCCACAGCAATAGCTTGGAACATGCTAAAGTGATAGCTTGGAACATGCTACAGCGAAAGCTTGGAACATGCTACAGTGATAACGTGGAGCATGCTACAGTGATAGCAGGGAGCATGCTACAGCGATAATGTGGAGCATGCTACAGTGATAACGTGGAGTATGCTACAGTGATAGCAGGGAGCATGCTACAGCGATAACGTGGAGCATGCTACAGTGATAGCAGGGAGCATGCTACAGTAATAGCAGGGAGCATGCTACAGTAATAGCAGGGAGCATGCTACAGTGATA